GAGCTGGTCTTTGTCTTGCCACAGGCTCCTCACTTAATCCCCACTCTCTTTGCCCCCTCTGTCCATCTCTGAGAAGGAATAAAATCTTTGGCTGGCATATGCAGAATGGATTAAATGGATAGCTATACAACCATTCTGGCCCACAAAGGATTCAACCCCATAGCAAAACAGACAGTAAGATGGGATTTCAATGACCTTTTACTTTTTTTTTAAAATCTATTGTAAAATATACTTTTGCTTTTACCACCCTGTGGGATCTTTGCCACCCTTCTGCCCACCTTTGAGCAGCCCTCCAAGATAAATAGTCCTTGTCCTGTCTTCCCTATACAGCCTCTACCCTATAGTTAGCAACCTTCAGTAGTACCACGTTTACACTGTGAACAAGACCTGAGCCAAAGAAAGGAGGAGAAACAACACCTTATCAATCACATGGGGATTCTTTATTTGTCAAAATGACGTGACTTCAGTGAAATGAAAACCTATTCAGTGTAACTTACTAGGGCTGTGCGAAGCTTTGCTGGCTGTTTTGTTTCAGGGTTGTTTTGACTCATTTCAAGCTTGAAACAACAAAATCAAAACAAAATGCAGGGCTACAAATAAAAACAGCCTTGAAACGAAATGAGGCCAGTCAAAATGTTTCAAATTTTTGAAGCAGCCCGGTGGTGGGAGGCAGGGGAGAGCCAGGTTTGTGCTCTGAGTGGCTCCGCAGCCCCACATGGCTTAGCTCCGCGGGGAGCGCGGCCCTGGCTCTCCCCACCTCTCTGCTTCCTTGGATCGGCTGTGGTGTGGGGCCCAGGGAAAATCAGCTCTTGCGGGGATCCACCCCTGCTCCAGGATCGGGGCGGGGGCAGGTCTCTGCATGAGCTGGTTTGCCCCAGGCCTGCCTGCCGCTGGCCCCAGGTGGCAGCACCAAGCTCCTGTGATCTGGGAGGCAGATCGGGGCCCGCACACCAAGGAGCAGTTCAGCACAGCCCCACAGCTCTCCTGGTGGTGCAGGTGGGCCCCTGATCTGCCTGGTGGATCACAGGATGCTGGTGCTGCTGGCTGGGTGCAGCCTGTGCTGGGAAGCTTGCCCACCTGAGGTCAGGGTTGCAGGGGCTGTGCTGGACTGCTCCTGGGGGTGCAACCCCTGATCTGCTTGCCAGATGACAGGAGGCTGGTGCTGCTGGCTGGGGCCAGTGACAGCACCGATCTTCCTGGTGCTGGCTATGAGTGAAACGTCAAAACAGCATTGAAACAGCGAAAGATTTTTGATGAAAGGAAACGGACCAGTGCTATCTAAATGAAACAAAACACTGTTCTGTCAAAACGTTGAAATGGACGTCAAAGTAGAATGATGCTGTTTCACATAGCCCTATAACTTACAGAAACACAAAAATCCTTCAGCTGCAGATAAGCATAAGAAGATATGTATAACATGATCTATAGTTAGCATACGATTATGGATAAAGCCAATGAGCAGAGGGACTAATCTTTATTCTTCCCCTTTTAAGTTCTAAGCTGAATTCCCTGGAGGCAGTGCCCTTAAGTTCATGATGCTACTTCTTTGGGGCTGCTTTCTAAATGATAAGGTGCTTGACGCCTTTATGAAGCCCTTTGTCCTGGTGAGTGACAGCGTCAGTTTACCTGCCCCTGTGCTATTTGGCCAGGCAAATGTAACTGCACTTCGGATTTAAGAGGCAATCTGTGAAGAGCAGCCCAGCATGCTTGAGGGCTACTGGGAATAGTCATCCCGTCATTCCTGCTAATGCAAACAACAGAACATAACAATGGATAAAGACTCTTCCACTAGAAATAGGATGGGAACAGTGCAGTGGCAAAGGCACTAACATTTGGTGCTAGAGTGAGGTTCTTTAGGTTTTTCTCAACTAAATCTTCAGGCAGGTGTTAAATATTTCATGGTACTTTTTAAAGAGCAAAGCGATTAATTTTCAGTCCCCTCTTCAAGGCACACAGTGAAACCAGTTCTGGCATCCTTTACTGTGATGTAAGGATTCAATAGAGAAGATCCTTACATAGCAGTTGCTGCTTGCCAAACTGTGGAATATGCTTCACTGAGGTGGAGGTGTGAATCGCAACACCAATCAATGGCACCCTCCTACTTCAACCATTCTTGTGCCCCCTCTGGGTAGCTGGTGACTCTTCTGCTTTGGTGCTTCTCTGTCCTCTTGAAGCACTGAGAAGACAGGTGTGCGCTGTTGGATAGGGGCACATCAAGGGGGACACTTTTTCCTGAGCTAGAATTTTTTTCATGATGTTTTCCATCAGCACCACAAGTCAGTCTCAGAGCTAAAAGACATGGAGAACGTACCAGTAATGGATTAATTCTGAAGCAGACCATCTTTCAATGTGATGGAATAACAACGGCTCTTATCCTACTTCTGAATAATATACCATCATACATTGTTAATCCAAAAGTAGCCTACAGGGCCTACTGAACAAACTAAGGAATCTATTATCTTGTCAATATAGGTATACGTGGATTAGTGATGAACATCAGGGCAGCGTGAAGCTTCAGTCCCTGATCTGATTCAGCGGAGATTCGGCCCGATTCGGTGGCTGGATCTCTGAATCCAAATTGAATCGGACGACACTTTAATCTCTCCGATTCAAATTAGAACCCTCTGAATCAATTCAAAGAAGTTCAGAAAGATTCGGCAATTTGGACAGAGAGACAGCTTTAAATGTTTTTTCTATATACCTCTAGGTAGCAGGCAGCTCATGAATGCTGTGATGCTGGGGTGCATGGAGTGTCCCACGGGAGTGGAAGGGGCTCCCCAGTGTGCTCAGCAGCAGACACAGAAGTGGACCAGAAGCCCTTCCGGTGCACATCCAGGTCCACTGGGGAGGATGCAGGGGGACTACCCTGCACACCCCTAGCTCGGCGGCTGGTGCCTTCTGGGTCTGGAGGTGCACCTGGGGTCCCCCCATGGCCAATTGCTGAGCTGGGGAGATGTGGGAGACACCCCACGTGCTCCTCAGCAGACCCAGAAGTGCACCCGAAGTACTTCTGGGTTCTGGGTTTGCCGCTGAGTACACAGGGGGCCCCCAGTGCTCCTGAGGGATGCTCCGTCTGCCCCAGCATCGAAGCATTCACAAGCCACACTGGTACCTTGAGATACGTAGAAAAAACATTTAAAGCTATGTCTGTGTCCAAAGCACTGATTTTTCTGAATCGGCATCGAATCTTCAGATTTGGATTCAGCCAAATTGAATCGTGGACAGCGATCCAAATCATTGAATTGAATCACTGTCCCCAATTTGGGCCAAATCAAAATCCAAATCAAATAGGGCCCGCTTCGCACACCCCTAATGAACATGGATCATCAGTGTTATTGGAATACTGTCCCATGCGTCCAGAAGAAAATGCATCCTTGAGAATTTTCACTGACAAGACAGCCAAAACCTGGAAGAGCGTATATGAATGTGTTACCTTTAAGTCTCATTGATTAAGTAAAAGAGATAAATCCTGAATTAAAATTTAAATACATGCATAAGGCATTTAAAGATCTAAAATGGGATGATAGAAGGGAATAAAGTACAAAATGTCAGGTAAATAAAAACAAGGTAACATAAAATGAAAATCATCTTTCAAAAGCAGCCATGGTCTGAGCAGCCACTGAGAAACATTGTATTCATCCACTGGTTTCAGTTTGTTTCCCTCCCCACATCATGAAAGGACAAAAAGGTAGGGTTGAGAATTCAGGTTTGGAATTGCTTTTTCCCCTCCAGAAAAAAATTCTGGAAGTCAAACATGATGTTCTCCTACCTGAGGCATCTTTCCACTTGCTTGATGGGGGCAGTAACTGGCAGTTTGACTATAAACAGTGGAAGAGGGGGAATAATCACCATTTTGAAAGTGTGTGTCAGATCTACAGAAGATAATTTGTTACATAGCACAACAGCCCAGTTTTTGTCTTTGTTAGTTTACTCGCTCTGTTCATGGTTAGTTCAAGTTAACAGGAGCCATGGGTACATAGCAACTCTGAAAATGAAGACATTCTGGTAGCACAACATAGCAGTCAAAACTAATTTACCTTGCTCCACACTGCATTTATTTCTGGGCTACTGTGGCTAGTTTGCTTTTGGTATTTTCTGCTAGTTTATTTAGAGCTTAATTCGGTATCTCTACAGTGAACAAGTAGGCAGCACAAACATACTCCTGATCTGAGACTAACATTCCCCAGGTGAAAGAAGGAAATAAATAATACTTTCTCTCTCTCTGATTGCCTTATAATGATTTAAGTGCCCCAATGCTGAGGCTGCAACCGCTACTTCTAGGCACCTGGCAAAGTGGAGTCTAGAGACCTCAGTTACAGACCTGAGCTCCTTATTCAATATCTGGAGGAGGGAGTTAGGCACCTCAGAATGGGATCTGAAAAATCTGATCAAGGAGCTACACAGACTAGTCAATAGCGTAGTGCTGAGGACAAGGCTGTAACAGACTGTGCTGCTCTCCAGGGTTATGTACTTTATCAAGCACTACTTGGGTCTTCTCTCCACTCAGGATTGGCAACCCTGAATTCCTTCCTGATGATAGCTGCTTACTTTCCTTTCTTTCACAAAGGGAGAAGAGCAGGATGAGAGGGAAGTGGCAATACTATCCCTCTTTTATACAGTGGCCAGATGACTCACTGAGGGTGTGGAAAGCATAAGTTCAGTTCTCATGTCTGCCTGAAAAAATTCAAGTGTACCTCCCTTACCTCCCAGAATAATTTATTAATTATCAGACTATGGACTATTCTGGGGTAGGTGCATTCACCCCCACAGGCTGAAACTATACACCTCTTCATGAGATATTTGTACAAGTGCTAGGCCTGAGAGAGAAAGGAGCAGAAACGAACATGATTCTGCAGAATCAGTTTAGATTTAGGCACCTGCATTCTACCTAAGGCACCTAACAGTCTCTCTATTCCACCTAGGTCTCACTTCAGATGCCTATAAGCAGACATGGAAAAGAAAGGATGCACGCTACCAGAAGCAGTAGTCCGTTACTTCAACCTGGGTCCACAGCGTCTGTATGGATGGGGTTCTTCAGTGGGGCTTTTTGATGCTTTTAACTAAAGTTGATTCAATCAACTATTAGATAAAAGCATCAATAAATCCCCACTAAACTGTCCAATCTTTACAGATGCTAAGAAAGCCAGCTGCACTGCCTCTTCTGGGCACATACTCGGGTCAATGCTGTCCCGCACTGAATTTAAAGTAAAGCGCTGTTTTTCTGTCCTCCCACATCTGGAAGCAGTCAATAATAATGTCCAAGTCAGGGGAAAAAAATCACAGTGCAGTGGGTTGAGAGCAAATGTGGTTCACACTGGACGCGTGTACATGAGATGCTATGTCATTGTAGTGATGTAGCTTGTTGCTACAGTGACGTAGCGTCGGCGGGCATGAACCGTGATGCCGACGCTACTGTGTAGTAAGGTCAGGAACAACCCATGTGCTGCTGGGACTGAGCTGTATCGGTGGTTACTGTGCAGTCATTTAGTACTTGGTAAAGTAACAACTCTGCAGTTGGGGGCATGTGTAGACGTGCCCACTCACTACAGACCACTCACTAATCATAATAAATTAAACCAAATTCCCCAAACCTTGGATTAAGGGAAAACAAAGAAACTCCATGCTCCTGCAGAATCCCTGCTTCCAGAAAAGCAAGCTAAAACCGAAGTTACATTCTAATGGTGCACAGTAGCTACACTGATTCTACTGCTAAGGCCCAGAGGTACAGTAGATTACTTCATCTGACTTCCTGTGAAACACAGCTCAGTAATTTTACCCACTTATCCCTCTTGTATTTAGCCCTATAAAACTGTGTTTGACTAAAGCCTATTTTGAAGATGGGCATGCAGTCTTGATTTCAAGACATCAAAGAAATGGAGAATCTACCTGTCTCCTTGGCAATTTGTCAGGTACACTCACTGTTAAAAAATGTATGCCCAACTTCCAGTTTAATTTTACCTGGCATCAGTTTGTAATCCGCTTTTTTCCCATGCCTTTACTGTCAGGCTTGCTGAGCCCATTACTTTCTGATATGCTTTCCCAGCTAAAATACCAGTGCACTGTAATAAAGTAATCTCTCAGTAGTCTTTTTTGCTAAACTGAACAGGTTGTACTCTTCAAGCCTCTTATTCTGAGACATTCAGCCTAACCATCAGATAATTTCTGTAGCTCTTTCTTGCACGAGTGTCATATTTTCCAGCATAGTTAAAAAAAATCTTAACACCAGAACAGGATACAATAATCCAGTATTAGTCTCATCAATGTCATATACAGGAGTGAGCCAATTCCCTATTCCTACTCTCCTGCCTATATATCCAAGGATCACAAAGGTCCCATTTGACACTGTTTGTTTGGAGCTTAAGCAGACTAGTTTGTTCACCGAGATCTCTAAATCTTTTCCAGAGTCACTGCTTTCCAGGACATGGTCCTCCATTCTGTAGGTTAGCCTGCGTTCTTGTTCTTTAGTCTGTGATGTTGTCTTGGCTGAATTAACTATTTTTTCTAAGTGTTGATGCTTCTGCTAGTTCCTATTTTAGCAAAAATTCTGAAGCCCAAGTTGAAAAAAAAAAGTTTTGTTTGAATGAGTAAGTATTGTTGACAATTCTGTGGAGATAAGAATCATTTTGCTTCATAATCTTAAGGCTAGGGAATGTATGGTACCTCAAGAACAATGCTGGATTGATGCTTTGGTGTTATTTTAATAAACAGTTTCTTCTTTAACTTTTGTACCAATGAATACATTATTACAACTCCTCTGTTTGTAATGCCAACAGTGACAAATACTTAGTTCTTTTCAGCTTTCTGCAAGGAGCCAGTTACCTTGGATTAAGGACTTCTCTGCTGAGACAGCTGCTGATTGATGAAGATGAATGTGACTGGTGAGGGTAGTATAATTTATGAAAAATGGGCCGTTCAAAATGTTTGGCAGAATAGAAGCCACCCTGAGAACTTTGCATGTCTCTTTTGGGTGTATTCTTTTTTAGAGGGGTCAGATACTACCGAAAGATATTTAAGACTTATGGCCAAAAAAAGAGGCTTACCTTCCAATTTAGGATCAACTTCCTGAAATATTTTATGTAGTGTTGCCATACTGATAGCTTGTAAGGTAGGACAGAGATGAATACATATATTACTGCTCTAATATGAATGAAACTTCCGAGTGCCAGAAAGAGAAAAATGCATTACTCATCTGATACTGTTCCTTGATGGTTTGATCTGGATGTATAGATTGGTTGGATGATTTTCCTGGTGAAGGGAAACCTGATAGGGGTTTGGTGGTTTGTTCATGTTCAAGAGGGGTCAATTGCTGAGAGTGTGTATTTTCAAGGAGACTGACCTGGCTGGCTTGTTTGCCTTGGCATGGGTGGAATTGGCTAGGCATATATGGAGGATATAGACATAATGGGAACATGTGGGTGCTATTTGCAGAGAAATACCTAGTTATAAGACAGATCATGCTGGAATGGTTAATTCTGGGGGAAGGCAGAAACAAAGAATTAAAAAAAATCTAGGCTGCAAAACTTGCAAAAAGTAATATTTATTTTGACTTGATGTTCATTAACTAAAAGCAGATTACATTTTATGTACCATAAACATTTTAGTGGCAAATGCATAAAAGAAATACTTTTATAATTATGATTTTAAGAATGATCCAGCCTCTTTAGCTAATCCTTGAACTAACAAAGCAAATATAACAAAGCAATATAGTGAGGACAGATTTTTTTTTGATTTTCTGCCCAACTCTTTCTCATACTGGTGAGGGGCACAGCTGCAGAGATTTAAGAAAAATAAATTTACCATCCAAATACAGTCTTGTACATTTTGAGCCAAACACTCAACTGGTGTAAAATGCCATTGCTTCACTGAAGTAAATGGATTTACTTTGGCTTTTTCCACTGCAGGAGCAGGCCCTTTCCAAACAACACTACATTAGCAGAACTAGTATAGAGCTTGACAAACACTGGGACCTAGAGTACACAGTGCTTTCTGATTACATAATGATCAGCGTGACCCTGTTGCTTCTTAGTTAGGATTCTTGCATCTAGTGACCTGCCTAAGAAGTGCTGTTTGCTGTGTCAGGCAGTATCTTCACCCTGGATTGTGCAATGATTCTAACATCATATGGATTCATTGGTTCACTGAGCCCACAATTTAAAAGAACAGTGTTCTCTCTTTCCTAAGAGTCAGGCTAGAGAGTAGACTGGGAATAAGGGGCGAACCTGGACAGGCTTGCAAGGTGGGTGCATCAAAACCTGATGACATTCAACATAGAGAAATGCAAGGTGCTCCACCGTGGGAGAAAGAATCCACATACTTATAGGCTTGGCAGTGCTTCACTCACTGGTACCATGACAGAAAGAGACTTGTGGATCATGAGTTACCACAAGATGAACATAAGCCACCAACGTGATGCCGCAGCTGGCAAAGAAAATAAAACTCTGGCTTGCATCTACTGATGTATCTCAAGCAAACCCAAGAAGTCATTCTTCTACTTTACTTGGCCTTGGTGAAGCCACAGCTGGAGTACTGCAACCAATTCTAGCCTCCACGCTTTAAAAAGGACATAAAGAATCTTGAGAGAGTCCAGAGGAGAGTTACACACATGATTAGAGGTCAAGAGAGCAGGGCATATGAGGAGAGGCTGAGAGGCATGGGACTCTTCAGGCTGGAGAAGACAAGGCTCAGGGGAGACTTGTTGGCAGCCTGTAAGTATATAAGGGGTGTGAACCAGGATCTGGGAGAATGTCTGTTCATCAGGGCACCCTGAGGGAAGACAAGTAGGCCTGATTCTATTCGGTGGAGATTTGGCCCAATTTGGTGGCCAAATCTCTGAATCCAAATTGAAGCAGGAGACCCTTTAATCTCTTTGAATTGAATCAGAATCCTCCGAATCGATTTGAAAAGATTCAGAAAGATTTGACAATTTGGACATAGACATGGTTTTAAATGTTTTTTTCTACATACCCCTAGGTAGCAGGAGGCTCATAAATGTTGTGATGCTGGGGTGCATTGAGCATCCCACAGGAGTGTGGGGGGCTCCCCAGGGTGCTAGGCAGCAGACCTGTAAGTGGACCAGAAACATTTCCGGTCCACTTCTGGGTCTGCCAGGGAGTGTGTGGGGGGCCCCCGCACCCTCCCGGCTTGTTGACTGGTGCCTCTTGGGTCTGGAGGGGCACCTGGGGTTCCCCCATGGCTGATCGCTGAGTTGGGAGAGCACAGGTGGGGCCCCTGGTGTACTCCCTGGTGGACCCAGAAGTGGACCAGAAGTACTTCTGGTCCACTTCCAAGTTTGCCACCAAGCATGTGGAGGGTCCCCCCGCACTCCTGTGGGACACTCCATCCGCCCCAGCATCAGTGTTCACAGGCTGCGTTGGTGCTTCGAGTTATGTAGAAAAAAATGTTTAAAACTATGTCTATGTCCAGATTGCTGATTCACTGAATCAGCATTGAATCTTCAGATTCAGATTCGCTGAATCGAATCATGGACAATGATCTGAGTCAACAGATCGAATCATTGTCCCTGATTCAGGCCAAATCCAAATTAAAATTGAATAGGACCCACTTCGCACACCCCTAAAGTCAAGGTCTAAGAGTCACAAACTTCTGGAAGACCATTTTAGACTGGATATAAGGAAAAACTTTTTTACCATTGAGTCTCTGGAGTCTGGAATAGATTCCCCCCAGAGGTGGTGCAAACACCTACTCTGGACATGTTCAAGAAACGTTTGGATGCTTACCTTGCTGACCCCAGCTGACCTCCTCCCCTTTGGGCAGGGGGCTGGACCCAATGATCTCGTGGGATCCCTTCCAGCCCTAATGCCTATGAAATCTGTAAGCATTATAATTGATTTACACTGGGCACCTCCACACGTGTGCCTGACTGCGCAGTAACCACTGGTATTGTGCAGTTCCAGTGCTGCACAGGTTGCTTCCGACTCTACTGTGCAGTATCAATGAGCCACTGCGCAGTAGCTCGTTGCTACTGCGCAGTAGCTGCAGCATCATGGTTCGTGCCCACCGACACTACCGTGATGTAGCTTGTTGCTATGGCGACATAGCGTCAGTGGGCACAAACTGTGGTGCTGCCATTATTGTGCAGGAGCAACTGTGTAGTAGCTCATTGCTACTGTGCAGTAGAATCAATTCAATTTCAATTTCAATTTATTAAGGATTCTGGCTGAAAGCCATGCTCCCAAAAACAACATAACAAACATACAATCATAATATAAATTTAAAGGTGCCATAGGGTCTGAAATGACCCATGTCACACCAGGACTGTGCAGTACTGCTGGTTACTTCACAGTCATTTCTAAGTGACTGCACAGTAACAACTGCATAGTCAGGTGCCTGTGTAGATGTGCCCAGTGTAAATCAATTATAATATGCCTACCTGGGAATATAACTAGGCAATTTTTTTTTTAAATGGAGGCCTCAAAGCTAAATTTTCAAGTGTTCAACATGTATGGTCAGAGTCATATTTTCAGTTCTAATTTAAGGATTTAAAAAAATATAAATAAACAAAGTTCAATGCTCCATACAATGAGCTCTTTTGAAATATGCCATTACTTATTTTGGTGCTTAATGGGTGCAGAGGCCTTAAAAAATATGTTTTCCTGATTGTTGGGACAGATTTTGGAAAAATTGCTCTGAAAGAAAGCAAGAGCTTGTTAGCGCATGCTCAGTCACATTAAGACAGCTACAGTACGACAGCTACATTAGATCACAGCTACATTACATCTGTTGGGGGAGAGAACATGTGTAGTTTGTCCGCACTGTGCTTTACTGTAATGCTCCTTGACGTCTTTTCATCAAGGTTCCCTCTAAGCTGCACACGTGCACGGCTGCAAATGCTTTAAAACCATGCTGCGCACGAGCTCATTAATACTGCACACCCACCTGATGAGGAGCTGGCTTGCAGCTTCAAGAGGCAACAAGCTGAGTGCGGCAGAGGTACCAATGGCGGCGTGGGAAAACTTACCCGGAAGCTCAGGCAGGCGGCTGGAGGCAAGGCAAGGTGAGGCTGGGACAGGGAAGGGGGCGGGGCTGGGGGCTGGGAAACTGCTCCACTTCCCAGCCCTGGCGCCATGTGCCTCCTCGCTCCCAGAGGCATGGCGAGGTGGGGACTGGGGCTGGTGCGGGCTCTGTCGGAAAACTGCTTCTCTCCCCAGCCCCAACGCCACATGCCTCCTTGCTCCCAGAGGTGAGGTGAGGCAAGGTGGTGGCTGGGGCTGGGACTGGGAAACTGCTCCAGTCCCGGCAGTGACGCTGGGGCCCGGACTGAAACCAGCGGCAATGTGGGGGCTGGGGCCAGGACTGGGACCAGGAAACTGCTTTGGTCCCGGTGGCGATGCGGGTGCTGGGACTAGGACCAGGACCAGGAAACTACCCCAGTCCCGGCAGTGTTGTGGGGGCTGGGGCCAGGACCAAGACTGGCAGCGATGTGGAGGCTGGGGCCAGGACTGGGACCAGGAAACTGCTCCAGTTCTGATGGTGATGCAGGGGCTGGGGCCAGGACCAGGAAACTGCTCTGGGGGCTGGGGGTGGGGGCTGGGGAACTGCTCCGCTTCTCAGCCCTGGCGCCATGTGCCTCCTTGCTCCCAGAGGCCTGGCAAGGCAGGGACTGGGGCTGGTGTGGGCCAGCGTTTTTTTTTGCTGTTACTGCCTTGATAAAGAATTATACCTTGTTTCATAGTTTCATAGTTTCTAGGGTCGGAAGGAACCTGAGCAGATCATCTAGTCCGA